ACTGTATTAGTTTCCTAGGGTTGCTGTAACAAATTACCATAAACTGGGGAGTTTCAAACAACAAAAATTTATTCTATCACAGTTCCAGAGGCCAGAAGTCCAAAGTCAAGGTGTGGGCAAGGCTGGTTCCTTCCAGAGACTCCTGGGGGGATCTGCTCCATGCCTGTCTCTTAGCTTCTGGTGGTGGCTGGCGATCCTTGGTGTTTTGGGCCCACATCTCTCCTATCATCATGTGACATTTTCCCTGTGTGACTGTGTCCAAATTTCCTTCTTCTTATACGAACACATCATTGGATTAGGGCCTGCCCAAATCCAGTATGATCTCATTTTAACTTGATGACATCCGCAAAGACCCTATTTCCAAATAAGGTCACATTCACAGGTTCTGGGTGAACATGAACTTTTGCAGGACACTAGTCAACCTGGTACATGTGCATTTTCTCATTTAATCCTCACAATAACCTTACTAGCCCCATTTTATGGATGAAGAAACAGAGTACCTCCAGATCTTCACCTCTGCTATGTCCAGCTGTTAATGGACACCTCCATAAGACATTGCACTGGTACCTCACAGTCAAACATTCCAAAAACAAACTCAGTATTGCCCCCTAAAATGTGAAGTCCTAAGCCACAGCAGCTCCAGAATGTCTTTTTAGGAGAGTGAACGGGATCTTTGGAAGGGGCTGTTGGAAGCAACCTTTGCACAGCACTTTATATAAGAATGAAATAAATAGTAACTGCCCATATCTAAAAATGATGGGTACCACCACTCACCTGAAACAAGACAGTGGCTGAGGAATGGGCAAGAATGATAAATTTAGAAAAATATGAAGGAGGCAGATTTGATAGGTCTAGTTGACTGCCTGCACGTGGAGACGGGTGGTTAGAGCCGTATTAAAGATGTCTTTGACTTGATTACAGGATGGTGGGTGGTAGGACTGTTTACCAAGAAACAAACAAACATGAGTGGGGGCAGGGGCCTGGGCAATAATGAGTTTCAAGTAAAATCTTCTGTGAAAACTAATATAAGAACGGAGCTGCTTTGGTTGAAAAAGGGGTAGGGCCCTTATTCTCCCCCCATCCTCTCCCTGCCTGTGAACGCATCTACAGCACTTTGGGAGAACATTATGGGTTTACTGACTTACTGTATTCTTCTAGCTCTAAACAGGAAAGCGCTTACGCTGTTCTAGATACATAGATATTGACCCCATTTTAAGAGTATTTCCAAGAAAGATTCTCATGGCCTCTCTCTACCCTCCTTTCCTGGTATGTAATATCCTTCTAAGCAGGATGCTTTTCTTTATCGATAATCTAAGAACAACCTATACTGCTTAACTTCTTTTACCCTTGGTGGGTTGTCATGGGGCCTTGGGTGTCCTGTTGGAAGACCCTGCATCTTCTGATGAAAAGCCAGTCTGGTGAACTTTAGCTCTTGGAATTGTGCCTGCCCTTAGTTAATCCCACAACGTTTATCAGTTCAGACATGAGCCCTTCCTTTCCAACATTCCGAGAGGTGGTTCATTCAGAGGGAAAAAGAAAAATCACATATATATATATATATATGTCAAGAGGAAGCTGGTAATTCCCCTGGCCGCAGGTGGTGCTGTCCTAAGCCTGCCTAGGGCAGAACCAGAGCTGGGTTCCTGGGTATCCCATAGCGGTTGTATTTACCCAGAGACAAGAATAGGGCTCTTCAAGTTTAATTAAAAACAGGATGTCCCTGCTGGGCCTCTCATTGACATTGCTAAAAATAAAGTAGGGAAGTAGCCTGGCCTCTCCATGGTTTAATCCCATTAAATTAGGGGGAGGGGTGTGGGGAACTGGGGTTAATAAAAGACACGATTTGTTTCAGATTGCTGTCTGGAGTTGTGTCTTTTCTCTCCCTGCGCTGTGGAGTCCCAGGTCTAATACAATCAGTGCTGGCTTGCTGAGGCCATGAGAGAGGGGCAAAGGGACAGGTGATTCCCCACTGAGGTTTTGCAGGGCTGTCACCCACTTACATTGGGACCCCTGGGGCTTGTCACCTCATCTCTTTGCTCACTGCTCTAGTACCACCCACGTTCATAGACCTGTTTTTGTAAATAATCCACTAATCCCTTTCTGTGAGCTGATGCACATTAAAAACAAACAAATGGGGCTTCCCTGGTGGCGCAGGGGTTGAGAGTCCACCTGCCGATGCAGGAGACACGGGTTCGTGCCCCGGTCCGGGAGGATCCCACATGCCACGGAACGGCTGGGCCCGTGAGCCATAGCCGCTGAGCCTGCGCGTCCGGAGCCTGTGCTCCGCAACGGGAGAGGCCACAACATTGAGAGGCCTGCGTACCGCAAAAAAAAAAAAACAAAAAAAACAAATCAACAAAAACAGTCTAGTCTGAGTGCTATGAAAGAGCCATCTGGAAACGTGAGCATCTTAAAGGTGCTCGCACTTCCTCCTCAACCCCTCAGTACACTCAGACATTACATCTCTTGCCCAATTCCAGAAGCCTCGTTTGCAAATATCCTCATATAAGGGGATCCTGACTTTCTTCATTTTTGTTTTGTTTTTATTTATGGGTGTTTTGTTGTTGTTGTTTTGAACTAACCTATCCTCATTTCTCTGCCCCAGCCCTGTTCCTTTAGTCTAACAGCTAAAGACTAAACGCCTGAAGACTTTCTGTTGGGTGTAAGCGCCTTGTTTTCAAACACATTCATCTGTTTGCTTGGTCTTTCGTTCATTTGTTCAACCAGAGTATTAAGAGAATAATCCCTAGATTATTACACAGTTGACTTCCTTCAGAATCCCAAGAAGGAGAATTTCATGAACCTCAACTCTTAGAGGCTGAGAGTTCCAAGGAGTGTTCCAGACCAGTGGGTTTTACTTGCTACCATGGGACCTTACCGAGGCCAGAACAGATTTGGGGAAGGAGCAACGCAGCCCCAAAGAAGGTTGATTACACAGCATCCTTAAGACTTCTAGCCAAAGTAAACTTATTATTTGTCCATAAATGCCCCTCCCACATCACCTCTACAACTCCTGAAATGTACCAGCTCTTAAACCTTTAAAGAGGTGTACTTGTGATTTAGTGGGGCGCTGATATCTAGATACTGTTTTGTTGTTGTTCTAAGATTCCTGGGCTTGTGAATTCACAAAATATTTAGACTGTGTAAGTCTGAAATCCGTGTGAGGGGGGTGTGTGTGTGTGTGTTCATCAGTTGGTGCCGCCGATTCCTCTTTGAGTCAAGAGTTACAGAAAAGCTTCCGTGTCGGAGCAGAGAAAGCTGAGGAGAGGGCGCTGGACCTCAAAACATGGTGGTATGGAGAGTGTCCTGCTTTCCACTTTTGTTACTAAATACTCACATGGCCCTGGAAGTTCAGCACCTCTGTTTCCCATTTGTAAAAAAGTCTCTAACTCTCTGGCCTTTTCTAGCTCCCCCAAGGAGTCAGGTGTCCCCAGCGGCTTGGCGCATGGCGCTATAACCCCAGCACAGATGGTAGTGTAGTCCTGGGCTGGAGGGGACAGTAATAGGGATCCAGGAGGAAGACAGAGTATGGCTCACCTCTCGCCTCTGGAGCACACTTCAGTGAACGTCTCTTGGGACAGCTGACTGTGGCCAAGCTTACTTACCCCAGTGACACCCATCATCCCAGACAGAGCCATGACTCCCAGTTTGCCCTTCCTCCCAGACAGAATCACCGTGGAGGCAGCTCCAGGTCAGCGAGGACTCTGGGTGGGTTCAAGTCAGACTTGGGGAGCCTGGCCTGAGGGGTCCCTAATGGGGTGGGATCAGCCCAAGAGTCAACACACTGGGTGACTCCATTTTTCACTCCTATTTTATCAACGGAGATTATAATATTTACCCCCATTTCTCCAGAATATTTTAGGAACTTGAGGCAGAGTTGATCCTGAACGAGACTGTAAAGTGGAGAAGTTAAGCCTTTATCTCTTTTTGCAACCCTTTTTGTTTCCACATTTCCCCTTTGGAGACTACTTTCCTTCAGCTGCCTTCCTTTCTCTCCTTCCACTACATCCCAAGTTCCAGAACTTTCCAGATTCCTCCGCCCACCCTCTGGCAAAATCTACTTTTTCTAAAACTCCTTCCCAGGGCTAATTTTCCCCAAGTGAATCTGAGTACCAGAACCATGGTCTGGGGATAAAAACAATGACTTTACATTATGCTTCCAAAATAAAAACAACATTTGACCGCTGAGGCCTTCCAGGCGCTTACTGGGTACCATGGGGGGTCCACGGTAGGGGAGATAGTTTCAGTACTGTTCACAGAACCTTTTCAGTAGAACCCTCTTTTGCCCATCAGATTTCTGATGTACCCAGCTGATCTCAAGCTGAGACTTTATACTTATTTCTTCCAAAACTTGGATGGCAGATTGTTCCCATCCCGGGGATACCTGGCAGCTTGCTGAGAAGGAATGTGAGACGATTGCCACATCCAAGGAGAAAGAGCACTGGGATGGATTGGTAATGTCTGCCCAGGAGAAGAGGAGGGCAGGCCCTTACAGACCATCAGTGTTTGTCACCCTTGAGGGACCCAGGGAGAGACCACAGTAGACCCTGACCTGTCTCTGGCCTGAGGAATGTCACCTACAGCCTGAGAGCAGGGACCTCAGAACAGCAGCAGCAGCACACAGGCACCTCATTAGAAATGCAGACTCTCAAGCCCCCCATCTCCCCAGCCCACCCTACTCAATCAGCTGCTGCGTTTTCACAAGATTCCCAGGGGATTCATAAGCACATAAGTTAGAGACACGGGGGGCCTAGTGGATCTTCCTGCCAGTTGTCGCTCCTGAAGGTTCTTGCCGCTGGACAAGCTCTGCTGGCCTGGCTGCTCTCACCAGCAACTGCACGTCTCTCTTCTACGACAACAGATGGTCAGGAGCAGAGCTGGGTCGCTGTGTGATGGGAGGCATTCCCTTCAACCCTGTATTTGGGAGGTTTAGTAATAGGGCCATTGTGTGCGAAAACAAACCATGTTTCTGTCTCACGCCATGTTGCTTCTGTCCCCAGGCAATCTATAAGATGGTCTCCTCTGTAATGAAAATGCCTGAAGATGAGTCGACCCCAGAGAAGAGGACAGAAAAGATCTTCCGCCAGATGGACACCAATAGAGACGGTAGGAGGCCATGGCTGCTTTGCTTTGCTTTGCTTTGCTCAGAGGCGGGGCTGCTGGAGGGGCTGGGGTGTCCGGGCAGGGAAATTCCACTAGAGGTCAAGATATTGGCCATAAGGACCTGGCTCGAGGCCCTTTGTGAAAGTGGCTTATCCTGCTTTCTCCCTGTAGGGGGAAGATGGAGGCTGGATCCTGCAGGCCAGCGAATCAGAAAGTGGGGAGGGGCTTGTTATGCACCCAGACCCTAGTAGCTTTCACCCCAGCCTGCCCAGGGGGCTTTGTTGGGGTTTCGTGTGCATGCTCCAAGGTGTTGGGTTTCCTGGAGCCAAGTGGGACCCCTCAGCTGTTGGCGGGTGAGGTGGCCAGCAGATTCCACCCTGAGGGAGCCGCCCACAATTCAAATCCAACAAGGGGATGCAGAGCAAACCAAAATGAAAGGAGAGATGGATTTCACACTCAAGAACAGTGGATTTTAGATGTTGGATTGCCAGACAGAATACAGGAGGCACAATTAAATTTAATTTTTGGACAAATAACAAATGACTTTTCAATATAAGTATGCCCTATTCAATATTTGGGACATACTTAAAAAAATGTTGTTTATTTGAAACTGAAAGTTAGCTGGGCATCCTGTATTTTATTTGCTAAATCTGGCAACCCTAGTTAGATGTAATATCTGAGTTTAAAGTGCTAACACAGAGCTTGGTCCATAATAAGCCCTGAGTCATCTATAGCTCTTGCTTTTATTTCCAGCTTGCCTGTTCTGCTGGGCATCCCCAGCAGTTCTTGTCAATGATGAGCAAATGCAGTCATATACCCCCGACGGAAGGCTTTGTCGCAGAGCGAGCCTCAGTTTCTATCCCTATGCCCTCTGGGGCACCAGCTGCCTGAGAATCCAGGTTTGCAGGGTACAGGCCAATCTGTTTGCTTTGTTTCTCCACAAAGGTGCCGTTACATCCTGTTTCTCTATGTGCCTTGATTCACAGCGAATAGTTTGTTTTGCAAAGACTAAACACATGGGATTCTTTTAATAGAATAGTAAACTCGCTGACATTAAACTGCACATTTTGCTGATGCTCCAGGGGAGCACAGGTGGGCTTGTCTGCTGCCCGAGGCCCAGCCTCCTCTTCAGAATAGGGCTGAAAGATGGGAGAAGACCCAAACACTGCAGGATCGAACGCTCACTGCGAGAAATGAGACCCTGTGCTCTGGGACTCGGCCACAATGGGGTCACAGAGCCCTGACGGGGTCAGCATTCCCCAAATGCATCTCGTTGCTAAAAGCCCTGTGCTTTCCTAAGGGAAAGCCTTGGGTTTAAAAAAAAAAAAAGGGCGGGGGTGGGGGGGGGCGGAGTGGGAGCCGTACTGGGAGGGGCTTTCAGTCTGCAGGGGGTCAGGCTCCACCCAACCAGGAGACTTGGTGCTTTGGCTCAGGGCTTCTGGACCCCAAGGCGGGACGCCACACCGGAGCAAAGTCCTCATCTAGACCCTCCCGCTGTTAGCTTCCTCTTGGAGAAGCTCTTTGCATCTAACCCCTGGCGGCTGACTTGAAGAGAAAAGTCTGGGCCCCCAGCAGGTTAGCTGGGAAGCCAATCCGGGAGCACACGGGTAGTTAGCCCGAGGGAGCGGACACATACGCTGAATGCAGGGTTTACCCTGCCGCAACAAGAAAGCGGGGGAAGCTTTGCCTCCCCACCAACAATATGACCGAGGAAACTTCCCAAAGGGAATTTGATACATACTCTAGCTTGGGCAAGAAGGAGAAAGACATCGAGGAGGAGTGGAATCCCAGGCAGCCAGTCTCCCCCGTCCAGCCCATTGAGGTAGGAGGAAAGTGCCCTGATTGACGGGAGGGACCCCGCGGCACCTCTCTGCTTCTCGGAGCACACAGCCCTCGCCTGGATGGAAGGGCAGCCGTCCTCACACCTTGGCCCAAAGAAGGGGCCCTCTCCCCAGATGTCTCTTCGGGCCCCTCTGCCCACATGCAAACGTAGGTGTAGCCAAGTGACCCTGAGGAGCCCAGAGGGCCCAGTGAGCCCGTGGGGACGGCCTTGGCGCTGCAGGAGCCCAGCTCAGTCTCTGAAAGGCGCCATCTGATCCACAGACACCGAGTCCCTCCGGGGCGCCTGCAGCTGGAGGGGCCACGAGGGCAGGGCCCACGTCACGGCCACCCAGCAGCCCCGCAGCCCAGGGCCGTGCACACAGAGCTCTCAGGAGGCCGCGTGCTGCGCTGTGCGATGCTCAACGAGCCCCGGGGTCTCGGCTCGGAGAGACGGAAGGTGGGCCTCACGGCAGGTGTGAGACCCCGGGAAGAGGTGGGCCGCCGCCGCCGCCAGCCCCAAGGTGCAGCGGGAAGCCTACGTCTGTGCGGCGGCCGCCAGCCGCCACTCACCGGTCCTCTTGCTTTCTAGGAAAACTCTCCCTGGAAGAGTTCATCCGAGGGGCCAAGAGCGACCCGTCCATAGTGCGCCTCCTGCAGTGCGACCCCAGCAGCGCCGGCCACTTCTGAGCCGGAAGCCCCACCAACTGTAGAGCTGCTTGTGTTCCCTTTGAAGTTTACTTTTTAACAAAAAAATTTTTTTTTTTGCCAAACAATATTGACGGTGATGCTGTTCCTCGTGTGGTCGGATGCACCTCCCTCCGTGCCGCCTGCAGCTTCTTTTGTCGTGGACGCTTCATGGGAATGTCTAGAGCCCCCCGCGCTTGTGGAGAGCATGAACAGTGCTGCCGTGCACAGACTTTGTGGTGTTCATTGTTCTGACGATTTTTCATCGTTATTATTATTACTTTCCCTTTGATTTGAAAGTCTGTGTTCTAAAACCGAAGACTGGGGGAGGCAAGAGAAGAGAAGAGAAAACAATCCAGTCCAGTGATTCTATTGCAAGCTTAAGGGCCCTGTTTGGAAAACAAAATTCCCCACCTGGGTCTGGAGTGACACATGCCCTAGGGGTGGTGGCACCAGATGCTCGATTGCCCAGGGACCAGGAATCCTCCAGGGCCAGGCTATTAAAGGGGCCTGGGGGATTCCCGCCTGGAGGCCCACCCCATCCTCTTCCCCAGCAGGCTTTAGTTTCTAAGCTGTGAACATTTCAAGGTAAATTCATAGAGGAGAGGAAAAAGATGGCTCAGCTATTTCTTCCCAGGTTTACACGAGTTGAGCCAAGATGAGTTTCTCTGGAAATTAAACACAAATGGTAATTTATATTTCAAAGCCAGACCCATCTTGTTGCCTATTGTAGTTTAAAAAAAAAAAAAAAAGATCGCTGTATATAAAATACTGGGTATTACAGACGAAATTAAGTGTTTTGCCTTGTTTAAATGAAATGCATGTTTAGTGAGCACTAATACAATCTTATTACAGGAGACTGTTTTTAGTAGCTTGTTGTGAAGTAAGCCAGCTATAATGAATGTCTATGTCTTATTTTAAAGTCATATCCGTCTTTGCACAAATGCACCAATCAACAGGTATATTTTATATATTCCAGAAAAGTACAAAGTAACCATGACCAGGGCCCAACCTTAATTTTGAATGCTTTTCCAGTGGTAGTGCCTAGGCAAGAGAAGTGGGGCAAGTTTGAGTGGGATGTGTCAACTGGAGCACCAGAAGGTTCATATTTATTAGAGATGTGGGTTTGCCCACCCAGCCCAGCAGCCCGTTGACAGTCCTGGATCAGAGGTGCGGTGCTTTTCTGAGCAGATAATATTCTGTAGCTGTTCCCACCCCCACCCCAAATAGCATAAATTCTCGGGACTTCCCAGTGCTTTAATCCACATGGATGGTTAGGAAGCCATAGCTGGAATGTTGACTTTTCCATGCCTCTAGCGGCCCTGAAAAGAGTCAGAGGTTAGAGGCTGGGCATCACCTGGTTCATCCTGAAGAAGGCATAGGCAAGTGTGTCTGTGATTTCCAAGGCCCACCCTTGGGAATCCGAAAGTATCTTGCATCATCGTGTTCTCTGAATGCAAATTTCTATTTACAGAAGTGACAGTACAAATTTGAGTTGCAGTTTGGTCTGATGACCTCATACATCCTAATTTGAATTGAAAGGTAAGAGTACAAGTTGCTGGTCACAGGTAAGTCATATTTTCACAAGCAGTAGGTATGGGGAAGTCCAAACACTCAAGGATGTAGACGGGGAGACCCTGCCCCAAGAGAAGGCAGAGAGGTCTCCTTGGCTGCGGCCAAGCTACTTCCTGTAGACCATGAACCACAGAAAGATAAACTTATAACCATGAGGAAAATGATGCTGAGCCCATTTCTAACCTCTAGATTCCTGAGTATTACGCGATTCCATTTAAACTGACAGTAAAAATCTGAATTTGTATGGTTGACCAAAACGAACCAACTTGGCAGGGTGAAATTTTGAGACCTGGACTCAGTAAAATAATCTTCATCTTCCTCTGCGTGTCAGTTTTTTTTATAGTGGTTCTATACTGTGAGACTTGCTGAGTCCCTCCGTTGGCCAAGTGGTAAAATCTGGTTTTGAAAACTAGGGAATTAACCTAAGACGCGGCGTGCACAGTGGCAAGGGGACCCGGCACCTCTGTAGGTGATGTTCAGGAGCTGCCTCCCACTTTCTCCCGCTCTTGATTGAAGACCTAATTCCTCCTTTAGTTCTCCTTAGATGGCGGAGTCAGTTAATGTTGGGGAAAGCCCGCCTGGGCTCTGTCCTCAGTCATGACATCTTACTGAGCCAGACGCACTCCGTTCCCCAGAACCTAGAGCTGGAGTGAGATGCAGGGGAGTGTGTCTCCAGCTGTTAAGAAAACAAAGCGGAAACTAGTCCTCGTCCTTGCCTGCCATTGACCCTGTCTGTATTTTCTTGAGGGTTGTTTTCTCATTCTCCTCCTTCCCAGGAAGACCTTTGTATGTCTGATCCAATGCACTCGAGTGTGGCCAAGGGACTTGACAGCACCCAGAAGGCTGAATGCCTAAAAGCTTATGTCACTCCTGTGCTGGGCTGTTCATTGTCATTGCTGTGTTGAGGGACCTCTGGAAATGGAGTCTGTTCTGTCTGAAATCAGGCCAGCCTGTGATGTTCAAGGGACTGGAATAAAGTGGCTTACGACGTGAAGGATGATAGAGTGGTCGACTGTTCATATCCTTGTTTAGGGTGGGGAAGGGGTGTTGAGGGCGCAGTCCCATCCCATTGATATGCCCTGGGGGCACTTTCCACAAGTGAATTTAGTAATTTATGAATCCCTCCCCATGGAGTGGGTCCTATATCTGGTGACTTTTGTGTTACTCTAGCTTGGCATTCAAGAATGTTGCTGATTTAATATGATGGTCTGGGACATGAGGTTTCCATGCCTAAACTGCTGCTCCAGCTGAATCTGTGCCCGAGTGAGGGCCCAGATGCTGTGCTGGCCACCTCCTGGGTGTGGTTTCTGCTCTCCAGGCACAAGGAAGCAGGGTTTGTGAAAGCGGGTATGAGAGGGTCTGCTGGACCCCAAGCCGTGTCCGGAAGCATCCTTGGTCTACATGTGGGCTAACTTTCCCCTCATGGCCTTCACTTTCTTACCTCCTCTCCTTCCTCACAACTGGAGCTATAAATTCTAGTCTCAACATTAGGTGCACCAGAAGGAGAAACTGAGGCAAGTTCCTCTTCAGTGGGAAATTAACATGCCCCTCTCCCCTCTCAGGGCCTCTCAGGCTGGAGAAGAGTCTGTAGGAAAACTGACATGATACAGAGCCCATGGCCTCAAAGCCAATTCAGATCAAGGTGCTTGTTGCTGCTGTCCTTGGCCTTGCCTCCAGCACAGAGGCCATGAACGTAGGAAAAGGATGAATGTCAGCTACGGTAGGTGTCTCATGGGCCAACCAGACCTCGTGTAGGAGCTGAGTTGGCCTGGAGGGGAGTCTTTTTGTACCTCACAGCTTCTCTCTATAGACCAGCAGTGGCCCTGAGGCCCGTGAGAACTGAGCATGCGTAATGCCACGTCACTCACGGCAGTGATGGTAAGGAGGTGGCTGGGACCCTCCAACCTGATCAGGAGCCTCTTCACTCGCACACCTGTTGGAGGTGAGCCTGTTAATTTCCAGCACATTTGCAAGCCTGAGGCTCCTATTTTCAGGGTACTGTCCCAACCCAGCTCTGGACCCCCTGACAGCCTAGTTCAGGCATGGGGGGGCGGGGCAGGCATAGGCCAGGTGGGGAAGAATCTGCCTGCTTTCTCAGTCGAGGCAGGGGGAGGTCACGAGAGCTCCCTTTGGAAGAAATGGAGATGCTTCACGCAGGCCTCTCTTATCTTTGTCAGGAGTATGCGTTCACTTCCCTGAAACTTTCTGTTTTGTTTTGTTTTTTTTAAGGTGGCTGAAGAAACAAAAGAAAATTGAGCCCTGTATTTTCCAAGGCAGTAGCGTATCAGTCAGATCCACCTAAAGTAGAAAGATTGTTGCAGAGTGAAAAGATGTCCACGCCAAGGGTCTAACCAATGGTATATTCATTGCAAATAGATTTCTCTACACTTGAATGATGACCACATGTCCAGGGCTGAGGTAGGTCCTGGGCATTTGCTGCCCTGGGTGTTAATGTGCCACTGACCCTCAGAGATACAGGGGCTCAGACACTCGAGTTGGCAGCCTTCCTAAAGTGAGATTAGCGTTTGGTGACCTCATCACATTGTGAAAGTCTAAGGGTAAGAGGGGATTGTATGCCTTAGGACTGGGGTGACTGCTAAGCCCTGGCTCTCCCAGAGTGAACCCCTATCCCGGTGCTGACGATGCCAGGCTGTTATCACTGGGCACATTGCAGCCTCTGAGGATGGACTGCATCTAATGTGCCTCTTATTCCCCAGCACCGGGCACGATGCCCGGTCCATAGTAACTGAGCTGAGCTGGCATAGCGGTGAAGGCAAGAGCTGGTACTTGACCCTGTGGCCCTGACAGCTTTACCTACCCGGAGTCCCAGTACAGGGAGGTGGGGTGTGTGTGTGTGTGTGGCACACATGGGGAGCAGAGTTCACAGCAGGACTATGGCAGCAATGGGTCAAGGGAGGACTGCCTCAGGGGAGATGTGGAGACCAGTGCATGCCCGGCAGGACGTCCTCGGGCCTGTGGGGAATACATTCAGACCTCCTACTGAGACTGCGGAACACGGATCGTGGCAAAGAGGCCTTTGGCCCATTTCTAATCCCAGGATCTCTCCAGAAGCCTCCTCAACGAGCACTTCTCCTGACCTCTTTGCTGCCCACTGGTCCAAGCACGGAGGCTGCCGAGGATGCCAAGGGGGTCAAAGTTGGTCAGAGAAAGCTTTCCCTGGCGAATTTTTAGCCAAGATTTGAAAGCTGTGGACGTGGACAGACAGACAGGTGGAAGAACATAGAAGCGCTCCTTGTTTGGAACAGAGAGGCTCTCGGGAGCTAATCGTGGAGGATGGCTGAAGGAGTGTGCGTGGCCACTGAGGAAATGCCGAGAAGTACTGGGATTTGAATACAGAGTGAAGTAAGTCAGAAAGAGAAAAACAAATACCGTATGCTAACACACACATATGGAATCTAAGGAAAAAACAACAAAACGGTCATGAAGAACCTAGGGGTAAGAGGACACGGGAAGGGGGAAGGGTAAGCTGTGACAAAGTGAGAGAGTGGCGTGGACATATATACACTACCAAACGTAAAATAGATAGCTAGTGGGAAGCAGCCACATAGCAGAGGGAGATCAGCTCGGTGCTTTGTGACCACCTAGAGGGGTGGGTGGGAGGGAGGGAGATGCAAGAGGGAAGAGATATGGGAACATATGTATAACTGATTCACTGTGCTGTAAAGCAGAAACTAACACTCCATTGTAAAGCAATTATACTCCAATGAAGATGTTAAAAAAAAAAGGAAATCCTTCAGCGGAAGCATCTGCTTGGCCCTACAGGGCTTCTTCAGATGAGCCATGTGGCTGTAAGGTTGGAATTGTCCATGGAAAAGAGGAAGAAGGGGTCAGGGATACTTACTTTCTCCCTCCCATATTCAGTTTCCCAGTGATCAAAGTTTGTTCCATGGGAATTAGCACACCACACTTAAAAAAAAAAAAAAAAAGAAATACTGGGATTTGAGCTGACAGATACTAGCGAGGCTGTGGGTTCCAGGGCAAGAGACTGTCATGATGAGGTTGGCGTTTCAGCCATGTGGTTTTAGTCTCTGTGGAGAGGTGGGCGAGATGAACTAAGGGACGGGAAGGCTCTGGTGGTACGTTTAAGTGGCGGTGAGGGAGCTGGGCGTGAGGAAGGCAAATGCAGATGGACAGAGCCTACTCCCTGCCCTGGGAACTGGAAGAATAGCCATGCTGGTCATGGTCACACCAAAGGCCTCGTGATGTCTTCAGCCCTCTTCTCATTTAACCTTGGGGTTGGGCACAACAAAGCAACCAGAAGAGTTTCATCTGCTTGTTGGAGCCCAGGACCTGAGGTGCCCAAGGGGAGCCTAGAACCTTCCCCGCTCACACAGAGGCTTCTTTCCAGTCAGGCAAAGAGCCCCAATACCAACCTCACCGAGAACACCAGACATTTGAGTTGTTAGGAATATTTATTTTTTTCTTCTTAAAAATGTACAAAAAATAAAATAACTGTATTTATAGTTTATAGATTCCCCCTCTCCCATTTACAAAACTATTAAGTTACATTTGCCTTTTTTTTTTTTTTTTAAACACGAGAGCAAATTGTCCATCTAGCAGTCTTCCTTGCTTGTCTTTAAGAAAGGGCTGTTTTTAGAATTTGGCACAAGCCCTCTGCTTCTGTTGCATTTGCGTAATTTTAAATAAGAAGGAAAATAAATGTTTGATTCAGTTCATGCTTCTTAAGTTTCTGGGCAGGGACGTGCCTTAGTCTTTTAGGATCCAATTCCAAGATGATACCCGACTGCATTTTTCTGTTGGACCCAATTCCTAAACACCCATAAAGTCTAAGCAATTTGGGTAAGTATAAGAAAAACACTTGTTTCACATGTCCCTCGTCTTACGTGAATTTTTTCTTTAAAGCTTATTTATCAAGGGACAAAAAAAGAAGAGGAGGCAAGTTTTCCTATCTCTCTGGAGTGTGTTTCTTGGACAATTTTGCTCATCAAAGCTCTGCTCATATACATAGTGAAGGCCACATCGAAGCTAAGCCATGGGCACACCAAGGACGCAGAGGGGACACGGTAAGATGGGGACAGATCAAATGAGAGGACACTCTGCACCACCCTTTGCTGGCACTGACCTCATAGGCTTTGTTCTGGCAGTGGTCACCGCGATCATTGCCCAGGGACCTGGGACAAAGGCAAAAGCCTCTTTGATTTATCTTCTGCCTAGGGCAGGATTAGCCAACATTTTTTTCCACAGAGGCTGGAGAGAGAAGGCTTGGTAACCCGTGTCAGATTGCCAAAGATTTTCTCTTTTTCCTATTCTGGAGTGCTGTGCCCCGGCCCAGGAGTATTCGCCATTACATCTGCCGATCACGTCTGGAACCAGCCCTCAGGCAAGGAGCATGGGAGGCGCACTGTACCTCATGCACTCCCAACAGTGAGCCCCATTAGTACCCAGGAGGGTCCCCAAGATGCCGGTCCAGGGCATGGCAGTCACAGAGTGGAGGAGGCGGCGACAGACGGGAGCAGAGGTGAATCCAGGATGTAACCTTTGGCACCACGGAGAGGGGTGATGTGTCCAGAAGACACGGAAAGGTGCCTGCTCACCACACCCAGAGATCTTCCTAGGCTCTGCACCTGCCCACCATTCCATTCAAGTCCTCTGCAGCCTCCAGGACAAACAGCTGGACTGGAGGCAGCCCTTCCGTCCAGCTCTGGGCCTCAGGGGCAATGGGGTGGGAGGGCAGGGAGCCCTTGAAGAGAAAGCCCCCAGGTAAGACATCAAAGTGCTTTACCAACAAATGGGTCCTTACAGTGAACCTGTCCTAGACCTGGGACCTTGGGTGGAGGGTGTGCTCGCTAGTAGAAAGCTAGCGCTTCAACCCACAAAGGTGAACACAGACCCCTAGACCACGTTCCTGTCCCCTCAAGGAGAGCTGTGGCCTGGCCGGTCCATGACATCGTGATCGCTTGGGGAAGCGTTTCTTTTCATCTGCTAGGGCAGCCAGCAGAAGGGCAAACCGCCTCTCCGTCTTCCTCTGGACGCTGCTTTCCGAAGAGCCAGGGTTCTCGGGGCATCCTCGCTTGCTCCCTCCACATCCAGCATCCGGGAGCAGAGGCGGCGGAGCCGGCCTCTCCCGTGCCGGCTGAGCCCCGGGAGGCAGCCGTGGCCTGGAGACCCAGAGCTGAACTGTCAGCCTCGCTCTCGGGACCGCAGTTGGGCTTTAAGGGGCCCGCTTGTGATGAAGGACGTGCTTGTAAACTGCGAGGCACTCGCAGTGGCCAGGATCCTCACGATAGCCAAGGAGTTCTGCAGCGGGCCCAAGAGACGGGGCCCTAGTGGCAACCCCGCTGCGGTCTCTCCAGAAAGTTCAGGCGGTGCCGACACCAAAGCAGGAGGAGCTGGGGCCTCAGACAATCTCACCTTTGCCACGAGACAGCTCAGAGGGAGGGCCAGGCAAAGCGCATCGCCGTGAGATAAACTCAGTGGCCTCCGGGGCGAGCAGTGCCCGTGGAAAGGGAACAGGGCGCCCTCTGCGGACAGGGACCGAGGCCCCGCGCGTGCCCACGGGAGTAGCTGTCTCGGCGCCCACCGCAGTCACCTGACACCCCGAAGAAGCCTCTTGGAGAAAGCAGGGTCTCCAGGTATGTGCCTCCCCCGGCCAGTGGCAGTAAACATGCCCACATAGCACAGGTAGAATATATTATTGCCATATTATAAACACTATGTACACGGGTAGCCAGGCACACCTTCTAGGTTACTTACTAATTACACAGTGGCTGAATGTCTTCCTGTACACGGCCTGCTGGCCACTCACCGGGAACCCCTGGGGGTATCGGCGAGATGACCGTCCCCGAGCAGCCTGAAGGTTTCTCACCAGGAAGGGGCGTCCGCCTCTCCCCCGACCTCTGATGAAGGAAATGGCTCGTTCTGTCCGTCCACTCAGGAGACGTAAGGAGGTGAGACAGCAGGGGCGAGCATCCTCAGGCCCTTCGGGATGAATGGATTGAAGGGGAGGGCTCTGGACGGTGGCCCCTGGAGCCAGCAGTGACCTGCAGAGCCCTGGCGGGCCTGGGCCCTGGGCTCCAGAGAAAGGTGGACAATAAATAAGGATCCAACAGGCGCAAGACCCTTTCCCGAGGTGCTTGGGCTGCGGCTCCATGGCAGGAGCCGGCGGGCGGACCAAACAAACACGGGGCTTCGGGCCTCGGCCCGCTCCCCAGCGCGGTCGGTCGTGTAACAGCAGTTGTGAGATGGGCTGGGTGGGTCTGCAGGGCCCGGGCTTCCGGCTGCCCCGGGGAGAAAGGCCCTGAGGGCTGCTGCCCGGAGCAGGGCTCAGATCTCCATGAGCGTGATCTTGAAGCCCTCCACCGTGCTCTCCATGTTGAGGATGAAGGTGTCCTCATTCGAGTAGTGCTCGATGATGTTGTCGTCCATGTTCACCAGGATGCTGCCGGGGATGGGGGAACAGAGATGCCGTGACCAAGGCGCTCGGTGCAAGGGCAGGCTCCCGGCTGGGGGCTCCCTCAGCCGTGCTTTTGCAAGGGAGGCCAGGGAGGGGGGCGGGGGCTGGAGGGGAGAGGAGACAGGCAGGGAGAGAGGCTCCCACTCTGCAGCGGCCCCCAAACTGGCCCCCAGAAGCCACTTTGAGGAAAGCAAAACCTCGCTTTCTCAGAACTAGCTCCTTATGAAACAGGATTTCAGAGCTCATTCAACCCAAACCTTTTGCTTTCTAGATTGGTAAAGTACAGCCCAGAAGTTAACAGAGCCTGAAATCACAAAGTTAGCTATTGACAGGGCCAGGTCCCCGAACTATTTTCATTAAACCATATTGCCTCTTGAAAATGCATTTTAAAAAAGTACTCCACACTTAGGAGAAGAGGAAAATAAACAAGAGCTGCAGGTACCCTTCCTCAAGCGTGTAGTGTGTTCCAGTGTTTTGGAGACCTTGTGTTCAGTCCTCAGGGCAACCTTGAAGGCAGGTGCGGTCATCACCACGTTGCAAATGGGAAACCTGAGCTCAGCAAGGTGAGATCGTGTCCCCAGGTTCACTCAGCTGCTTCACTGCTGAGCTAGGTTTTGAAACTGGCTTTGCCTCACTCTGAAGTTCATACTTGTACCACATGTGACCTACTCCTTGGTTAACCATCTGTGTTGGGTTTGGTTTTAAGAAAACCAACAACTTCCAGGGCCTGTCTGTGATTTAGAAGTCCTTTAACCAATCCCCTTCTCTGAAGTCAGACAGATCTTGGTTTGAGAACTGACTGACTCTCATTTTACAGCTATGTGTCATCAGGCAAGTTGTTTAGCCTTTCCGCAGAAACAAGAATAACAACCCTGCTTTAGACGGTGGTTGTTAGGATTAAAGTATGTAGCCCAGGGCCTGAGACAGGGCTCAGTGGAAGTGAAATGGTACCATCGGCATGTGCGTCGACACTGAGGGTTTCTGCTCAACGTGAGACCTTGAGACACCGCTCAAATCTCACCAGCGAAGGAATACACTCAGCCTCTTGCACTGACTTTGGAAAGAACTGTAACATGCATTTTAGTGAGCTTTTCAACCAGGGCTCAAGTGGAAAGGGTTTCCTGCTTGGCTCCAAATTAACCGAGAGACCACATCACTCAAAAAGCCCGAGTATCCCAGATAATCAATTTCCTTTATGAAAGAGGCCCAGAGAAGAGTTTAAAGACCTATCTTCTGCTTTTTGTAAGAAGATAGCTCCAGAAGCTGACTCTAATGGAGACCCTCTCCTGGCACTAAATCCAGCTCCGTGGCAACTAAACTTGGAGCCTCATACACAGGAGGCCCTGGGAGGGCTGGAGACAGCAGACGTGCGTGCTAAACACTAGGTCTTTGGGGCCACGGACCTGGGTTAAATCTGCGCCTCACCTACTGAACATGAGACTTTGGGCAAGTTGCTTAGCCTCCATCAGCAATAAATTACGGATAAGAATCTACCTCACTGAGTGGTGAGGAACAATAGAACAATACACATAAAGCACTTAGCAGGGGACCCAGGACCTACTGAGCACCAGATAAATGAGAGCTGTCGTTCTTAACAGTGAGAACAAGCAGGTCCAGTAATCATTTCGATCATTATGTTAGTAATGACCTCAGAAGAATCCTCTATGCCCTGAATCCTTTGTATTCCTACCGTGCTGCCCTGAAACCAGCCCCAAGAGCAGCACGTGATTCCCTATAAACTCTGCTCTCCGCAGAAGGGCGACCTTGCCACTGTCCCCAGGGCCACTCTCACCACTTCCAGACCCCTCTATTCTACCCACTGATCCTGTCATTGGAGGGGGGCATCTCAGCTGATGTCATGACAATGCACTCTCGCCCCCCACTCTCTCTCATTAAAGGTCTTCAAAATGCGTGGCACACGTAAGCTGCTCAGCATGTCTTTGGAAGGATGACAGATTTTTATAAAAGGCAGACAACAGAACTAACGAAAGACGGGCACCATCTTGTTTTTTTTTTAAAGGCACTGTATAGACATATCTGATTGGGAAATCAATTTAAGTTCCGTTTCTTTCTTACCCTTTTTTGCTTTTCTTGTAAAGCTTTGTTATCTTTTCCACGGGCAGCCCGTATTTCTCAGATATCTGCAACCAATAACAAAAAGGCAGGTGAGTGCAGAAGGGGAGCCAAGCGGAGACGAGAGAAAATTCCAACTTCACTGTCCTGGAAATGTTTCTGGGTGCCAGTGGTCTTCACTCATGAGTCAGACTCTCAAAAAGGCTCATTTCTTTGGACAAACCATAAATCAGTCAACAAAAAATTCACCCACAGGAGAATTTAATCTATGATGAAGGTGTCATTTCAGGTCAGTCAGAAAAAGATGGACTCTAATCATGATGCTGGATTAAATAGGTAGCCATATAGAAAAAAATTAACAAGTCAGATCCCTTCTCCACGACTTCCATCAAAATAAATATCACCAAAGATTTACAGGGAAGAGATGAAACCATGCAAGAAGACACCATGAATCAATTCTTTGTACAGATATCATCTTTAAGTAAGGAAGATGCCAAGCCAGCTATGAAACCTGAAGAAAAAAGGCCAAAATGTAGATAAAGCAGCATAAAATGAAAAATACCAGTATAGGCAAAACCACCCAGAAAGCTGAGGACAGACAATACACTGGGAAACATTTGTGCAACACAAATGACAGACATGGAACTAAACTTTCTTAAGTTAGAAAGGACACCTCCAAATAAAAAAAAAGGACTAACATGCTCCCTTTGGCAGCACATATACTAAAATTGGAACGATATAGAGAAGACGAGCATGGACCCTGCACGTGGATAATGTGCAAGTTCATGAACTGGCCCATATTCTTTAATACAAATGAATGTATTTACAGAACAGAAACAGACTCAAACAGACATAGAAAACAAACTTAGGTTACCAAAGGGGAAGGGGTGGAGGGAGGGATAAATTAGGAGTCTGGGATTAACAGATACACACTACTGTATATAAAATAGATAATCAATAGGACCCTGTATAGCACAGGGAACTATATTCAATACCTTACAAATAACCTATAATGGAAAATAATCTGAAAAAATATATACGTATAACTGAATCACTTTGCTGTACACCTGAAACTAACATAATATTGTAAATCAACCATGCTTCAATTAAAAGAAGGAAAAAGACTAACAATTCAATGGGAAAAGGAAGGCAACAACATAAAGAAGTAATTCACAGAAAAAATACAATAGGACAATAAGCAAATAAGAAAATGCACCACCTCACTATTAATTTAAAAATTCAAATTAAAACAACAGCAGGATACTACCTTTAATCTATGAGACTAACAAAAACTGAAGAATTGATAATACAGTGCCAGCCAAAGGATAAGAAACAGCAACTCTCATAGCCCATAGATAGGAGAGCAACAAGCTCAACCTTTCCGGAGGGAAATCTGGCAGAAGCTATTGAAATTTAAAAGGCATATATCTTTTGACCCAAATAATCCACATCTAGTAATCTGGTGCACAGAAATACACTCAGATGTATGCAAAGCTCTTCAAAGCATCACTGTTCATAACACAGCTAACTGTGTATAACAAACATTCATTAAGCACATTTTGATATTTGCACAGTTGAAAACCACGCCGTCATGCAACCATTAAAAGAAATGCAGGACGCCTATATGAAAAAAATGTCCTTAACATACTAAGTGAAAAAACACAAATTGCAAAACACTGTATATAGTGTAATCCCACTTGTATTTTTTTTAAAAAATATATGTAAGTAAATAGAAAATATCTGAAAGACCCACCAGTCTATTAGCAGTGGCTACCCTGGAAGAATGGACAGAAACAAGGAGATTCTTCTTCTTTTCACATTGTACAATTCTGTGCTATTTATTTTTACAGTGACCATGATTCAGCTTTATAAATATAAAACTATAAAGTAATATAATAATAGTTTAGAGATGGATTCTGGAGACACCTACCCAAAATGCTTTTTCTCTCCCAAATCCAATCCACCCACCTCTTGTGAGCCCAGTGGCTGGCAGGGCTCACAAACAGCTAGGGCAGGTGAGGTTTGGGACTTGGACTACTGGGCAGTCTAGCAGGGCCTAGGAAAAGAAGCCAAAGAGCCCTGGGACAAAGGTGGGATAGGTTTGGCTTCTGGGAAGAGCTTATTCTCCAGAGAATCGGATTCCCACCCATCCATCCCTTACACTGCACAGGAAGAACTCCCACCCCCTCCCCCAAGCCCCAAAGGAGCAGAACAGGTGGGCTGAGGACTGAGACAGCAAAGGTAGACTGGGAAACAAGTGGCCTGCCTGTCGCACATCACTGCTCCGTCACTGATGGAACTGCCTCGTGGCCATACTGGAGCCCAAATGAGCCCAGCACATAGAATAACACGGCCTGTGGGCAGCAAAGAAAATGGACAGAACTTAATGTGGACGGCATCTGTGTGAACAGAACATAAAAGAGCACTTATGAAGACTGCTGTACAGCACACAAGTATAAAATTCTGATCTAAATATATGATTATTGAACTAAAAATTCTGTAAAGGTCAATAAATGAATTGAAGGCCAGGTGGTCGATCCAGCAAACCAATCGGCGTTAGGAAAGATAGATTAGAAAAACCATTTCAAGTGCAGAGCAAAGACACATAGCATAGATGGAAATCATGAAGGGAAAAAAAAGAGAGGTTTGAAGAATAGAGACAGCTATACCTGATGTGACTATATCCAAAGTCCCAGACAGAGAAAAAGGAGCAAATGGAGAAGAGGAAACAATTAGACAAATAACAGAGGAAAGACCCATGTTTTTAGATAGGAGGGGTATCCTGAATCCCAGGAAGGAGCAATGAGAAAAGAACCATGCATCTGGCCACGTGCCAGATCTCCAAGGGTAATGAAAATACAACATCCTGGAACCTCCCAGACAGAAAGTACAAGTTACCAAAAAAAGAAAAGAAAAAGAATGAACCTGGCTTCAGTCTTCTCATCTGTAGCACTAGAAACCAAACCGGAATAACCCCTACAGACTACTGAAAAAAGGGACTTTACCCCAAGAATTCTGTACACCAACAAGCTCTCCCTCACTTCTCAGGTTAAAGAATGGCATATAAGAAATGCATTTCACCCAAATATCCCATTTGAGGAAAATACTCACAAAAGAACTCTAGCATATGCATCAAAACAAAGACTTCAGCAAAGGGGGAAGAAAACAAGCAATCAGTGTTGTACCATAAATATATATATACGTATACACACACACACGCGCGCGCACGCGCAGACAGACTATATATACTCTATATAACTATAGATCTATAGTTATATATCCATACATAATGTATATACATATAGATATATATGGTCCGTATATAGAGTTATAGGTATGTATAACTACCTATATATAGTTAAATGGACTGGGAATGTGAAATAAGTGTTAAATAAGGATTCTTGAAGTAAAAAGAACATAATGGAATCAGAGCAATAAGGAGAAGAGACTGAAACAATTTAGGGAAAGTAAAGAATAACTTTCAAGAAAAGATGAAAAACAGTGACTTAATCCAACTGCAAAACTAAAGAGAAAGAGGAAACTGCAAAGTAAAATAAATAAAAACCAAAACATTTATCGTTGTGAGTTGCTTGGCCTGCAAGCGTTGGGTTTTGAACTTTGGTTGGTGTCATTTGGAACTTCTTTTTAAAATGAAATGGAAAAATAAAGTGTGTTCCTTTTTTGACTCAACATCAGCAAGTTCGTATCTCTTAGTCCCCCTTTTCTGAAAGAGAGGTGAATCTGATTCTTGGATCTTCTCTTTTCAGGGGTTTGACTCCCAGTTTTTCCCAAAGCATGAACGCATATACCTCAGCTCACAGTTCAGTTGATAACAGTCAGGAAATTTGCATAAACCTGCATATCTGCCGGAAGTAGCGGCAGCAGCCAGCATTCACTGAGTGCTTACTAAGTGCTTAGCATATCAGCACAGGGAGTCCTGCATCTATTAACTCGCTCAATTCTCACATCATTGCAACAGAATAGGTGTTTTTAGGAGACCTGTTTCTCCGGGCAAGGAAACTCAGGCTTAACACTCAGTAAGTAATCAGGGTCCCTCAGCTAGGAAGTGGCAGAGACAGGATTTAAAAGGTAACAGTCTGGCAGTCGGGTTTCAGATTCTAAGCTCATAGAGAAAAGGGGCATATGGTGGGCCTGTTTGAAGCAGGGCTCATGGACCCCATCCAGTACCAAGAAGCAACTGGCAGAGTTGACACGGGCATCAGGCTGCCGAGGGCAACAGTCTCCAGGAGGACAAAGCCCTGCCCTCTGTGCAGTTGTCAAAGGCAAAGGCAGAGGCAGCTGGATAAAATGCCACCCTAACACAGCGTCCTCTGCCTCCACGCCAGGCAAGGAAGTGGGCTTTGCCAAATCCAGAAGCCTGGAAAGAAGTGAGACCGTGCAGGATAGCATGTGGAGGAAGCTGGCCATCTGTCGGGAGATTACGGAAGGAATCCTTCTGCCCAGGAGCTGGATGGTGTCACCACAACACTCCCCTTCCGTGTGCATGGCAAGCACACGCTTCGTGATAGTTCTCAGAGCGGGGGCATTAGGACTGCCTGGTTTTTTCTTTGTGTTTTTCAAGTAGTCTGAACTGCTCGTATATGTCCATCATTTTTAAAAGCTCATGATCAATATTTTTAAGGACCCCCTAAGACTTCCCTGATGCCCAAGAGGATCCTAGGTCTTGGACATATCTCATCAGTGTGTTACTGGCTAGCTGACGATCTGGAACTTTTAGACTTTTACTTTGTGGAGAGTTCTCTTTGCCCAGAAACCTCAGATATGTGACAGGCAGAACTAGAGATTTCCATTGGTTTTCACCAATGTAGGACTCTGTCTGCCTGGTCTAGAGGCATCCAACACAACTGCCAGCTCTGGAGGCCGATGACTTTTTTTTTTTTGCGGTACGCGGGCCTCTCACTGTTGTGGCCTCTCCCGTTGTGGAGCACAGGCTCTGGACGCGCAGGCTCAGCGGCCATGGCTCACAGGCCCAGCCGCTCCGCAGCATGTGGGATCTTCCCAGACCCGGGCACAAACCCGTGTCCCGTGCATCGGCAGGCAGACTCTCAACCACTGCGCCACCAGGGAAGCCCCTAAGGTGCACTTTTGGAAAAGGGGTGGCTCTTGCTTATAAATACTTCCTAGGTGGCTACATTTGACCTGTCAATAGAATTGGGGAGGACAGGCCTGCATCTCCATGCATGAATGACTCAGCTGCATAGAAGGGGGTGCTACCGGGGCCACGAGCCACCTTTTCCCTGTGCACCCAGCCAGCTTCACCAGGGGAGAACACCCTTCTCTAGCCCCTTTGGCTTGAGGGAATCTCAATCTGCCTCTCCACCCCATAGCACTTACAGCCGTCTACTACACACACACACACACACACATATATATATATATATATATATATATATTTTCATTTATACAGTGTTTCTGTATTTAAAATTTTATTTATTTTTCTGGCTGCATTGGGTCTTCGTTGCTGCATGCGGGCTTTCTCTAGTTGCGGCGAGCGGGGGCTACTCTTCCTTGCGGTGTGCAGGCTTCTCATTGTGGTGGCCTCTCTTGTTGTGAAGCACGGGCTCTAGGCATGTGGGCTTCAGTAGTTGCAACACACGGGCTCAGTAGTTGTGGCACACGGGCCCTAGAGCACATGGGCTTCAGTAGTTGTGGCGCGTGGGCTCAGCAGTTGTGGCTCGCGGACTCTAGAGCGCAGGCTCGGTAGTCGTGGCGCATGGGCTTAGCTGCTCCGCAGCATGTGGGATCTTCCCGGACTAGGGATCGAACCTGTGTCCCCTGCACTGGCAGGTGAATTCTCAACCACTGCACCACCAGGGAACTCCCTATATACAGTGTTTCTATGTGTTACTTTAAACACCTTGTATAGGAACTCATTTAATCCTCGAAACAACACTACATCTCATTTTATCAGTATCTATCTTCATAATAATATCCCATATTATTATTACTCTCATTTCAGAAACGATGAACCTGGGGTACAGAGAGGTTGAGTAACTTGCCCAGGGTCACACTACTCTGAAGTGTCAGAGCTAGGATTTGAACCCTGACTGTGTGGGATCAACCATCATACACACTACTTCTTGCCTGATGGCTTACTATTGCCTAAGCTTCTTTCCTTTAGTTGTTGTGAGCTGTGACTTGGAATGGTTATTCTTCTTGCAATAACTTTTCATGTGTGGACGTCTCCCTAAGTGGACTTAAGTTGCTCAAGGGCTTAAGCTGGCTCTGCCTCTCTGTGGAGCTCAGGAAACCCCACATCTGTAAATGACGGTGATGACATCTGACCTGCCAAGTTCACAGGGCTATAGTGAAGCTCAAGTGAAGCAATGCATGTGAAATACATGCCACCCATAGCACTTGGCATGGTGGTACATACACAGTGGATGCTCAATTCAGTCAACAAATATATATGCTCAAACACCTGGGGATACACAGAAGACAGCAAGAGACAAAGCCCCTGGGGGAAGAGAGAAACAAATTGGGGAAGAGAGAAACAAAAAAGCAGAGTTAACTCAGGGATTGTTTGGGTGGAAGTGAAGGTGACATTTAACCCCACTGTGATCCAGCGAGACCACAGCTACAGAACACTTGTAGAACTAGCCAGATGTCACAAACAGGAAAGGAAGACACCAAGGAAGAAGGCGTAATGAATCAGTTCAGAATTGGTCTAGGTCAGTGGTTCTCACACCTGGCTGATGTCAGAATACCCTGAAAAACTGTTAAAAATACAGATTCCTGGGCTTCCCTGGTGGCGCAGTGGTTGAGAGTCCGCCTGCCGATGCAGGGGACACGGGTTCATGCCCCGGTCCGGGAGGATCCCACATGCCGCAGAGTGGCTGGGCCCGTGAGCCATGGCCGCTGAGCCTGCACGTCCGGAGCCTGTGCTTCGCAACGGGAGAGGCCACAACAGTGAGAGGCCCGCGTACCGCAAAAAAAAAAAAAAAAAAATGCAGATTCCTGCTGCTCCACCGCCCTCCCCCACCTCCACTTCAGCAGAAAGGGAATCTGGGGTTGAGGACTGGGAATATGCGTTCAAAACAGCTGCTAAAGTAATTTTCAGCTTCACCACCATCCTAGGTAAGTCAGTTTCAGTAATATGATCTTAAAGGCCAGATTAAAGGTATGAAATTTGTTCAAAGGGCTTCTGTAGCTCATAAATCAATCTTCCAGTCATTTTAGGGTTATTTAAAAAAATCCTAGTTCATTTGAAGAGAGATAGATGATACTTTTTGTTGTGTTCATTTCTGGTTTTGTTTTCCCTTTATGGGGTGGGGGGCAGATTCAGTAACAACAAACGCCATGCCAATGACAGATCCTGAGAACAGAAGAGATTACCAAACCCTCCAGCCAGGTGTTTCTTAGAGGGTGGTCCTGCATGCCCTGCTCTGAATTGCCTAACAATGCCAACCACATTGGTAACATTCTTGTGCTTTTTAAAAAAAATTTCAGATGAACAAATAAATAATTTTTTTACATATCATATAAATTCCCCACTTAAACCATTTAAAGTGTACAATTCAGTAGCATTTAGTACATTCACAATGTTCTGCAAACGTCAGGACTATGTAGTTCCAGAACAATTCATCACCCCAAAAGGAAACTCACTAAGTAGACTTTTCTCATTCACTTTTCACCCAACTCCTGGCAACAACTAATCTGCTTTCTGTCTCAATGGATTTGCCTGTTCTTGATATGTCCTATAAATTGTATGATTATACAATGTGACCTTACGTGTCTGGCTAGCAATTCCACTCCTCAGTATACACCCCAAAGAATTGAAAACAAGTATTCAAACAAACACCTGTACCTGGATGTTCTTTGCAGCACTATTCACAATAGCCAAAAGGTGGGGGGGGGGGGAATCCAAATGTCCATCAACTGGTGAATGGAAAAACGAAATGTGGTATATCCATACAATGGAATATTATTCAGCCATAGAAAAGAATGAAGTACTGATTCATACTACAACATAGATGAACCTCAAAAACATTATGCAAAGTGAAAGAAATCATCCACAAAAGACAACATAGTGTATGATTCCACTTATAGTCACTGTCCTACACATTTTCACATATTACTCCATAGCCCAATATGCTGTTTCAATGCAGCAGTTTTCCAGACCAACAAAAATTCTAGACTGTCCCTTGGCAGTCCTGCTGTCTTCATCACCACAAAAACCCTGGATCTTCTACAACATGGTTGTACAGGGGAGTCAGATATCATTTTCAATGTAGAGTCATACTCAGATGGATAATACATGGATAAAACATAAAATAACTTCCTGAGCCCAGGTTGGGTAATGCTAGACTAAACAGGGGATGAAGAGGGAAGGAGAGATTTCAGAATCTTACTTAAATCATTTTATAGCTCTGCAATTTATATTTTTTTCTTAACCAAAAGAGGTCATATTTTATTTTGGATTACACTATCGCAGCTGGCAAGACACTTCCTAATCGTTTTTGTTCTGTATAGATTTGGAAGTTAAACGTATCTAATTTGGTTTCATGCAGAGACAAATGGAAACTCACAGTTTAAACTTTCTCTGTGGCATCTTACTCTGATTAGCCTTAAACTGACAGGGAATTGGCAGTTTTACAAAGTTTCCTTCTCCTTAAGATGCTAATAATAAGCCAGACAGGGTGGAAATCAGTGTCCCCATGAATCTCTGCTTTTTCTTTTTCCTTGAGAAAGCTCATTCCAGGGCCATCTCGAAGGCTGCATTTTAATAAATGGATTTCAGCTCAGGAGACTACATGCCGGTTTCTCGGAGGCTGAAGGGGGTTCATTGCTTACCGCTTCCATCAGGCCCCTCACGGTGGGGGATTTCAACATCAAGGCGTCAAACACATCGTCTGTCTCCTTCCTCACGTACAAAAGCACTGAAAGAGAAGGAACGGGAAGCCGTGACTGCGAAGCCCACGCAGCTGCCCCAGGAGACTGCTTCCCACCAGTGGCTGTTACAGATGAACATCCTGTAACTTCTTCCTGTAACCCCCAACAGAAAAATGTAATTTCCAGGAGGCTGACCCTAAGGAAACCCCAAAGCATATTCTATTGGGTTAGCCAAAAAGGTCGACCCACCCGAACGAACTTTTTGGCCAGCCCAATATTTAAATGAGGGCCGCTTCCATTGGATTTACAGACCTCTTCTTGGAAAATCATTGTCTTTAAAATAGTGTGGCTGCTACTTCTGCTGTAGGAGCCCCTGGAATGGGTTAAAGGGGGCATGGCAGCGGGTTGATGGGCTGCAGTGCCACCATCTCCTGCTGGGCTTGTCGATAGCCACACCTGCATGCTGGGCTTACAGCTCGCCCCCAGGGCCTGCCCAGAGAGGCAGCTCTCATTAACTGTGTATCTGTGGATAGCAATCACTCCGCTAACATAGCAGTAACCATTATCAGGCATCCCAGAGCTTGTACAGACAAAGGCAACCGACTCCCGTGACTTCGGGAGAGCCACCCTGAGAAGTGGCTACAAAGGCGAAACAAACAGCGGCATTGGTGATAATTACAGTCATTCTCTGTCCTGGAGAACTTCTAACAAACAACGGGCACTGTCACTGACCCTGACTCCTTGTGCCTCTCAAAGCCCAGCTCAGCGTAGGAGCTCCAGGCGAGGGGCTCAGTAACTCCACTGTCCTTTTCCAAAGAAAGCCACTCCCGGGAGAACGAGTTCTCTACTGCTGGAAGGTTGCAGTGCCCTCACGTGTCCCTAGGACTGAGATGTCTCAAAGGCCGTGACTTTGCATTTTGTCACAGCAATTCCTGATGGCAATTTTTGTGCAGACTTCACAACCTCAAAATATCTGAAAAACACAAGCTTTGGACCAGCCAGCATGTACTGAATAGGGATGTAAGCTACTATCACTTTGGCCCGTGTGATCCTTGATTTCCATATAACATTGCCCTCATTCTAAAGGATGAGATATAAAAGGCATGCAGGAATGGAGCTCAAAATGCACTCGAATATTTGATGGTGAGCCTGTGAAGCCGGAAAACCCTTTACAGGTTTAAATATTACTACTGTAATTAACACTACTCAGGTATTTACACTCCTTGAACTCTGAAATGCTCATTACTCATTCACAATTATGATAATATTCCTTAACTAGATCCAGGTCTAAAAATAAAACTAATTATATTAGTGAAGATGGAGTGCTTACTACGTACTGGGCACTTGAGTTTGGTGTTTTACATACATTAACTCATCAAGCCTCCCTCTGTGACGTGGGTACTCCTGTCACCCCATTTTACAAGTGAGGACTCCAAGGTGCAGAGGACCTTCCCAAGGTCACGTGACTCGATGTGGCTGAGGGAGGCTACCCAGGGGATGCTCTCGACCATTATGCAAATCCCATTTCAACAAATAGGAAAAAAAAAAATTCTCAGTAACAAAAACCTCAAGCCTGTGCAGATGGTGGACGTACGGTAACCTGACTCATTAAAAGTCCAGTGCTGTAAGCAGAAGGTCTCTGGAAGCTCTTGGTGTTGGCTACAGCAGGATGTGGGGAGAAAAGCCACCACCTCCCCTTTCCCCTTACTCCCAGGAGGGACAATGAATCAGCACAGCATCGAGATGCTGAGCAAGACACTGACAGGCCTGTGCTTCGTTTCTCATTCTCTCGGTGAAGTGGGATAAGATCCCTGACTGAGAGAAAATGAGTAAGTTGTGATGTCACAGAAAACAGGTTCCCTGACTTGTACCGTGATTAATCGTTTGCATCTGTTGAAGGATTCTCAGCTGCTGCTGCTTATGAGAGGGTATTGTCAAACACAGCACGAGCTTCTTTTTAACCTTGTATCTCACTGCTTGATGAGTCAGTATATTCACTACATTTCCCTCAAGGTAAAGGAAAGAATCAGTGCCCAGGAAGAATAAATGTTTGCTTAGGGTGTTTAAAAAGATAAGGTTTAAAGCAAAGGAGGAGACTGTGGACTTCCTGGATCAATAAAAGCATCCCCAGGCTAGCACGGAACCACAGGGACATGGGCCGGGCCGGGGGTTCTTCTCAGTGAAATGTCCCCACCACCATTCCTAATTGGAGCAACACCGGGGGAGGGCCTCAACGGGAACAGTACCTCGCTTCATCCCTTCTTCCTTCATCTGCTTAGAAGGTGCTGGACCAAACTCCTCTTCCATGGGCCTGAACATCCGTTTCACAAGGACACTGCTGCTAGAAAAGGTGAGGAGAAAGTGTTAATTAAGGAAGGCACCCGGGGTGCCAACAAAAAGGTGTATGGATGTGTCGGTCCCTATCTCTTCCCTTTGTTTACGCCATCCCTTATCACGACTGGACCCACGCACCAACCTCGTGCCTCCCCCTCACGGGTCCCAAGTCTGCATGTGGGGCAGAACACACATGCCAGTATCTTTCACGCATGGCCCTGAGACATCCTCCTTGCTGCTGAACATGGATCCACCGAGGTGAGGCCTCTGGGTTTTACCCATTCTGTTCTGCACCTAACCCGCCTTCCTGCTCAGAAGACCAGGGCTGGGGACGCGGGCCTGAGCCCTGTGTTTGTGTGGTCTGCAAGTTACACAGCCCGTCCCACCTAGCTAGGGCCTGGGTGTCCCGCACTTTCTCGCCAGCCCCGAGGGCACAGCGTGACCTCTGGAAATGGCACGGGCCTGCCTCGCTGGTTCTAAGTTATGAGGCTGCCCTCGGTTCCTGCTGTTCCACAACTCCATCAGCTTGGAGCAGAGGAGACTGCAGTGGCTGAGGTTCCCTAGACCCGGCCCTTCCTCATGGGAGAGGGTTTCGGTCCCCCTCCCTGAGGGCCCACGGGTCCCCAACTGGCCAGTTCTGGTGGCTCTGCATTTCCTCCCAAAGTCTCTGTCTCTCTGGGCACTCTAGGGAAGGGAGGGCTGTTCCAGAGGAAGGAAATTAGAAGAACAGATTGTCACTGAAGAGAAGTCATTGCCGCTGAGTGTCCCCTCAAACTCACATGCTGAAACCCTAACCCCCAGGAGGATGGTATTCAGAGGTCCGGGCATTGAGAGGTAATTAGGCCCTGAGGGTGGGGCCTCCATGATGGGAGTGTCTTTATGAGAAAGGGACACCCTCTCTCTTTCTGCCACGTGAGGACACAGCAAGAGGATGGTGATCTGCAGGCCAGAAAAGGGTCCTCACCAGACACTGACCATACTGGTACCCTGATCTCAGACTTCCAGCCTCCAGAACTTTGAAAAATACATTTCTGTTATTTAAGCCACCCAGTTTATGGTATTTTGTTATAGCAACCCAAACTGACTAAAACACTGAGAAAATGCCCCTGCATGGAGTCTTACGGTCCTTTAAGCCCTCAAGAGAGCAGGTATAGGTTTTTAGAAGACTTTAATCTCTCTGGGGATTCCTGGAACCAGGCACATGAAGCAATGCCAGATAGGCAGTTCTGCAGAATTGTTAAGACATGAGATCTGGGTCCAGACTACCTTGGTTTAAACCCCTGCTTTGCAGACTCACAGACATAGAAGACAAACTTATGGTTACCAAAGGGGAAAGGGTGGGAGGGATAAATTAGGAGTTTGGGATTAAAATATACGCACTACTCTATATAATATAGATAACCAAAAAGAACCTACTGTATAGCACAAAGAACTATACTCGATATCTTATTGTAATAATCCATTGTAATAACCCATAACCTATAATGGAAAAGAATCTGAAAAATTATATGTATAACTGAATCACTTTGCTGTACACTTGAAACTAACACAACACAGTAAACCAACGATATTTCAATTAAAAATTTAAAAAATAAACCCCTGCTTTGCAATCTACTAGCTACGGAAACATGGACAAATTCTTCAACTGCCCTGAGCCAACAGCCTCTTTAAAAGGAGGCTGTTGAGAGGATTAAATGAATTCAACATAATGTAAATTCAAACTCACAAAGTTGCCTGATACATTTTAAGTACTCTAGAAGTGTTAGTTAGAGATGATGATGGTCGTGATGATCGTGATAATTAAAGTTGGAGAGATTTGAGGAAGAGACATACGGGGAAGAGTACATAAGGCAGACAATTTGAAAGAGCTCAAAGTTTCCATTCACTATCAGATAGCAAACAGCCCAAACTACCACTTTGGCCCAATTTAAGGGCTAAAGTTGGAAAAGCTTCCTGCATCAGAGACTGATATTATATCAATCCCAAGCTTCCAAGATAATATAAAACCCTGCTCTGGGGCTTCCCTGGTGGCGCAGTGGTTGAGAGTCCGCCTGCCAATGCAGGGGGCACGGGTTCGTGCCCCGGTCCGGGAAGATCCCACATGCCGCGGAGCGGTTGGGCCCGTGAGCCATGGCCACTGAGCCTGCGCGTCCGGAGCCTGTGCTCCGCGACAGGAGAGGCCACAACAGTGAGAGGCCGGCGTACCGCAAACAAACAAACAAAAAACCCTGCTCCAAAGCCAAGTCCCTATTGGCATCATTGTCATTAAGAAGTTCTTTTTATCAATTCTCAACTGGAGCTAATGGTGGGGTCCAGTGGTAGAAAGAACACATGGTATAAAACTGTGGACAGTCCAAAAAGTACTTCTATTAATTCTAATAGTTTAAAGTATTAAACCAACAAGGCTTTAAATTACCATCTTCTACTCTAGGTGGTCCAAAATTATGTTTATGAGCCCTTAATAAGACCACGCTTTTCATCAAAGCACTTTACGTCTCCTTGGTCAGTTAAGTCTTATGAACACTCTGTGAGCCAGCAGCGCAAAGACCAATCTTATCCCTATTTCGGTGATGACCAAACTAAGGCTCAGGGCGTTATGTGTCTCATGCAGGGCAACGCAGCTAAAACAGTGAAACAGGCTGTTGAGAGAACCCAGCTCTGAGGAGCTGGGTTCCTCAGAGCTGGGATTTAAGTACTCGATAAATCTGAGATGATGATGAGTGAGGGTATGAGAAATGATATTCAGAGTCAGCATTCTATTTTATTCCATAGTAAGTCAAACTATGGAAATAGCCAGAAGAAAAACTCAAACTCAAGTCCCAGCTGAAGGTGGTAATAAGTTTTTAGAGCACTGTTCCCTCTATCTTTCCCTCACTTTTCTTTAAAACCATAAAAGCGGGTCATATTATTCTGTCATGTCTTGGAGCTGGACTGACCATGACCCTGGGAGCAGAAGATTAAAAATCTATTGACATTGCTGTCAATGACCAGTAGGTTAATGATGGGTAAATAGCCTGAAACATCACCAGACACTCTTTCATGTTGTGTTAGGGTTCCTAAACTAGGGATTTTCTTTCTCTCATCAAGAAAGATTTATTTACATTTTTCCAGGTCTGTTGACTTTTGACAGCACCCCATTCTGAGCATGACAAACTTTGCCATTAAAATAACATCTTGGATAAACCACATTTCTCTTGGGAGTTCAGAAATGTTTTTTCACACTTTCAAATCTATAAACCCAGTAGGAGTCAATAAGCTTGTGTGGTCTGAATTCAATGGTTTCATTTCTTTTTAAAGCAAGGTGAGAAAAAAAGGGCAGAAATGACTGCCCAATTGATAGAAAGAGTAAGGGTTTCAGGTCTCCTAATGTCCTGTTCAATTACACTGGCTTGTAGCACAAAAGGACAAGAACAAGGAGAAGGTGCTTTCTCTGACATCAGTCTCCATCCCGTGGGCACAACATGTTAACATGTAGAGGGACTCCTGTTCCAGCAACATATGAAATCATTGCTTTGTGGGGTCAATGTCAGGGAAAGCAAGTCCCTGAGGTGTAAAAAAGGATGGCTAAGTTTCATCAGAAGAAAAACTGGGAAGGTGTTTGGATCTGAAGCCTGTCTCTGGACATACTTGGCAATGTTGAGCCCTACCTATCAGGCTGAACCACACTAGGCATCAGTACCTAGGTGAGGAGGTACCAAAATAAAGCATGGAAAGGAGGTGCAGGCACCATGGAGACATAGTTTGTCTAGTTCACAACTCTGCTTCTGGCCTGTGTAGGCTGATGACCACATCTGCCCTAAATAAATTAACATCCTTACCCTTTGTTAGCCTCAGAAAAGAGGAGGTGCTCTTATGTTCAAGTCCTCACAAAGTCTTTCACATTATGGAGTAGAATCTCAATTAGTTTATTTTCAACAATAAATCACTCTGGGGAAGAACCTATCATCCCCAAATGACTTTAATCAATGCTAGTTCAGGGTCTTGATAGAAGTTCATCTGACACACTCAGTACACACAAACCAAAATCAACAAACAAACCCCACATATGTTTATAATTATGGTAGTTAAGAGCTTACAATTGAAAGTAGTAAATAACTAGGTCAGTAGGCCCCAGAGGAAATACAGATATTTCTGTTTCTGGCTAAGATGTTGTATCTTGTGGCAAACCAAGCAATGTTCCAGCCAAGAACGATGTAAGTAACTGTAAATATATATACATATGTATTTAATCTTATTGAAGGTATTGGACACTACTGTTGAGTCGGCCAGAACCTGAGAGCTGAGATCTCAGAGGAGAAAAATGCGGGAGGTGAGCTGATAGTCAGTGGGCCACTTTCCTCTGGAAGCATTTGCCATTTCTCAGCTGGGAGTAGAGGATGGTGATCGCAGCAGAGGCACATACTTAATGGCAAAGAAGTCTGCACAGCTTTTGGCAATCTTACGGTGTTAGAGAAACAGAAATTGGTGTTTAGGGCTGCAAAGTTATTCAGGACTAATAGGAAAACTTCCAGAGAGTAGAGAAGCACAGAGAAGTAAGCCAGACACTGCAGTATTCCTTCCCAGGTATTTGCCAAGTTTTTAAGCTGCACAGGATGAGAGAGTAAGAAGTTAAGCAGAAAGCCCTTGAAACTCATAGAGGAGGCTTGGGTAGTCTCTCCATGCTAAGGAGACAAAAATTGAACTTCAAGCTCCATGAAGGAAAAAGACCCATAGAAAGTCCCTCAAAGGTACAATCTAGGAGTTAGGATGAATTAGAGGTCATCTGAGGTTAAAATAAACTGCAACCCAGCTTTGGGTCAGTTCTGTCCCTGACTCAGTTATGGTGATCTGTTAACTAAGGCTACATACCAGATAGGGAAAACCTTCATAAGGAAAAATATGGTCATCCAGAGCCTCCATAATTTTTATGCATATTGTTCATCATTCAATGATTATCAAATATTAAACAGGACCAAGGGAAAAACATACAATAGAAACACACCCAGATAACATACTTATAGCACA